GAGGTTTCAATGAGATCATATGTTTTATAACAGGGAGTCAAACAAAGTGCCGAGCACATGGGTTAGTGTTTTTGATAGGTTTGCTATTTTTAAAACTTACTGCTATCATGAGATTAAATGAGGAAACTTTGAGATTATTCGGGGGAAAAAATTCCAACTTTCTAAGATGTAAAAAAGGCACCTATTTTCTTATATGAATTCCCTCTTCTTCCTCTCTGCCAACTGTCTGACCTAATCTTTAATAATAAATTCATATTCCAGCTCCTCCATGAAAACTGCCCTAATGATCCAATCCACACTGATCTAAATACTCCCCCACAAGTTTACATTTGTCAGTACTAGGATTTAAGCATTTTATAAGAATATGCCATTCTATTTTAACTAAACACTTTGTAATAACGTTCTATTAGCACATATTGTTTACATATTTTCCAGTTACCCTTTTTTAACCAGCTGCCTTATGTGCTATCTTATCTCACCAACTAGACAAATAATGTCTTTTCTCAAAACTTTTACCCCTTTTCGACTCAAATTGCTAATAAGCACGGTAGGAGATATCCAGAAAGTTTTGTTTGATTTATTTTAAATGTTTATATTTAGGGGAAAACAAGTAGACAAATGAGCTAGAATGACCAGTTTCAGATAAAACATTTACTTTTAAATTCTTAATTCTTTAAAGGATCATTTACTATTTAAAAAAGGAGAAAGTATTGTTAAGGGGGGGAAAGGTTATAAGATGCCTTCAAAATAATTTCTACAAGTGAAAAACACAATAGCTGTATTATAAAAATGGAATACAATTCTAATATTTCTAAGAACAAAAGTACAAGGACTACTTAATCCATTAATGCTTGGTTAATGTGTAACATTGACTGAAAGAGACACATTTATAAGAACACAGTAAGTGGGAATTCAAAACATTCACAAAAGTTTCTTAGCCTTAGTACTCAATGTTCCACTAGAAGCAGTTCTCCTTATTAACCTGTCCTGAATATAAGGCTTCAATACCATGTTTAAAAAAAACAAAAGAATCACTACACTACAATAATGGCCTAGAACTATAGTATATGCACTGAATCTTATTAAATAATATACCTATTACAATCATTCTCAAAATTACTAAGAATGCCATCAAAATACAGTTTCATCTGGATATATGTGTATTTCCTTCTCTTAGAAATAATCATTCATTTAAGTGTAAATGATTTTCTTAAAAATATGAAAAGGTTTTTTATTTAAATGTAATTTGTTGTTGTTGTTGTTGTTTAATAGAGATAAGTTCTCGCTATGCTGGCCAGGTTGGTCTTGAACTCTTGGCCTCAAGCAATCATCCTGCCTTGGTCTCCCAAAGTGCTAGGATAACAGGTCGGAGCTATCGTGCTCAAAAACAGGATGAAGTTTTAGATTAAACCATACATACTTTCCAAGCAAGACTTGCTTTAAAAACTTTGTGTAATGTTTTTTCAATAATAAACATGATCAGAATTTACACTATGCATAAATGTTTCACTCAATACTATTTTCCACAGAACATAATCACTATGAAAATATAAAAAGAAGGCCGGGCGCGCGACTCACATCTGTAATCCCAGCATTTTGGGAGGCTGAGGCAGGCAGATCACCTGAGGTCAGGACTTTGAGACCAGCCTACCCAACATGGCAAAACCCTGGCTCTTCCGAAAATATAAAAAAAATTAGCAGGGTGTGGTGGCAGATGCCTGTAATCCCAGCTACTTGGGAGGCTGAGACAGGAGAAGGGCTTGAACCTGGGAGGTAGAGGTTGCAGTGAGCCAAGATTGTGCCACTGCACTTTAGCCTGGGCGACAAGAGCAAAACTCCGTATCAAAAAAAATAAAATTGTGTGGACAATGGCTTCTTCATATATGCCATCTAGAAGGCAGTATTTATTGCACAGCAATTAAGAGCATGGGTTCTAGAGCTGACACCCTCAGTTTAAATTCCAGCTTCACCATGTCCACCTCTGACTTTAGTCATGTAGCTTTATCCATGTACATCTTGCCTCTCCTCTCTGTAAAATAAAGTTAACAGTACCTACCCTACAGGGTTGCTGTGAGAAATAAGTGGTATTACTCAGAGTGGTTTGAACAGTGCCTAGCATATATAAATAAATGCTCATAAGTGACAGTTATTACAAACACCACAATTTAAAACGTCTACCACAACAAACCTGCTTAAAAATACATGCATTGGCCGGGCACAGTGGCTCAGGCCTGTAATTCCCGCACTTTGGGAGGCCGACGTAGGCGGATCACTTCAGGCCGGAAGGTCGGGAGCAACCTGGCCAACATGGCGAAACCCTGTCCCTACTAATAAATACAAAAATTAGCCGGACATGGTAGTGCGCGCTTGTAATCCCAGCTACTCAGGAGGCCGAAGCAGGAGAATCACTTGAACTCGAAAGGCAGAGGTTGCCATTAGCCGAGATAGCGCCCCTGCACTACAGACTGGGCAACAGAGCAAGATTCCGTCTCGGAAAAAAACAAAAACAGAAAAACAACAACAAAGAAAACCTTTATTGAAGAAAATTTACACTCCGGACTAGAACTCTTATTTTTCATGCAACTTTTCTCTCAATAATTGCATTCAATTAGGTGGAAACTTTTTTCTTTCTGCTCATTTTCAAAATGTAAATTTTGTGAAACAACACTAAAACCCAACAGCACTATTCTTTGAAAAATAACAACCTTACAATGCTATATACAGAGCTGACTCATACCTCAGAAAGCATGTAAAAAGTTTAGAGGTAATGGAATCAGAACTTTGACTCCCAAACTAGGTATACAATCCCTAGTTGGCACTGCTTTTAGTAAAAATCCATTTTCTGTGGGCAAAATATCTCAATAGGGATAGACACAATTGTTCTAGAGGTTTTATTTAGTACTATGAATGTTCTAGGCTCATGCCACTCAACCCAAAGCAAATCAAAGGAGAAAGTAACTGTGTACTGGTTACTGAACTAATTGGTGTTATACTAATCTTCAGTATAAAACTTTTGAGCTGAAATTAACCTAATGGCATTTCTAAAAACAATGTAATCAATGCAAATCAATCTAGTAACATCCCCTCACAGGAGTTTTTGAATTGTAAACTTCATATTATGTAAGTAGAAAATCCTACATGTTTCTTGAGAGCAGGAGCTTGAGACCAGCCTGGGGAACAGAGTGAGACCCCATGTCTATAAAAAATGAGAGATTAATTAGCTGGGCGTGCGCCACGTGCAAATTCCTATCTACTTCTGAGGCTGAGGAGGGAGGATCTCCTGAGCCCAAGAGTTCAAGGTTATAGTGAGCTATGGTTGCACCACTTCACTCCCATCTGGGCAACAAAGAGTCACCCTGTGACTCAAAACAAAACAAAACAAAACAAAAACCCTACGTGTGTGTATGTGCATTCTTACAATGATTTCATTAGATTCCTAAAAGCAGTGAAATCCCTCAAATATTATGAATAATTGCTCTTCACCGTTTACAAATTTATTTCTATTCCTGTTATTAGTTTCAATAAATAACTTGCTTATATAAAATTAAGCAGTATAATTCTAAATCCACTTCAAATTTCAAATTTCACAAATAATTGTGTACATATGTAAAATAAAATCACTACAAAACTACAAAAACATTACGAGTTATCCAAAAGTTCTTATGAGCCTACAAAGCTTTCTCTGAACTATAATTAAGGGATAATGAGAAACAAGGAGCACAGAAGAACTACTAAAAAAGAAGAGTGGTTGGGAACGGTGGCTCACGCCTGCAATTTCTACACTTTGGGAGGCCAAGGCGCGTGGATCACTTGAGGTCAGGAGTTCGAGACCAGCCTAGCCAACACAGTGAAACCCCGTTTCTACTAAAAATACACAAATTAGCCAGGCGTTGGTGGCAGGCGCCTGTAATCCTAGCTACTCAAGAGGCTGGGGAAGGAGAAATCACCAGGAGGTGGAGGTTGCAGTGAACTGAGATCGCGCCACTGCACTCCAGCCTGGTGACAGAGTGAGACTGTCTAAAAAAAACAGGGTAACAAGAGCGAAACTCCGTCTCAAAAAAAAAAAAAAAAAAAAAAAAAAAAAGAAAAAAAAAAAAAAAAAAAAAAAAAAAAAAAAAAAAAGGAGAATAAGCTTTTGCCAACCCTTGAATAATCGGAAGTACAGAAAACACAAGACGCTGTAACAAGAACAAACCTTTATCGACTTTTTAAATAGTTATAACTGCCCATAAGGACAACCAAATTTCAGTTTTCTATAGTTCGAAAAGATAAATTAGAAGAAATGATTTGGCACAGACTATCAGATCATTGTAACTTCAAAAAGCCCTACGTAAAATTGGTTCCTTAAGCACAAGGAAAAATGTATAACGCCCACAAGTCCGGGCAATATTTTGGTTTATTTTACAACCGCCCCGAAATATAACAACTTATTAGCAAAAAAATATAATAATGAGACTGTCCTCAAAGTACAGGCTGCGCCTGGCGACCACTGTCCTTAAAATAATCCAATCCTAGCTAAATGACAGTATACGTCAATTCAAACCTATGAACCTTTAAATCTGGCAACAGTTCAAGTACAATCAAAAAACTCCTAACCAAACTAAAATCAACCGAAGTAATCCTGAGATTTGTTTCCTTTCCTCACCCTCGGGGACCGCACCTCTTTGTGCACAAGGTTCTGAAAGTCTCCTAACCTCAAACTCCAGTTACCCGCCCGGCTACGATTCCCCGGCAAGTCACTGTCGCCAGCCTCGGGTGGCTCCTGCTCAGCACTGGAGACGTCGGCGGATGCGGACGGGCGCGATCACTGAAGGAGTCCAGACGCCAGGCGTTGTTCCGCCGGGCCCGAAACCAAGACCAGGGGCGCGCCGTCACCAAAGACCGGGCCTCGGGCTGGCGCGGAGCAGCGGAAACCCAGGCTGGGGTCCTAGTTTTGGCCTGGGCTCAACCTTACGGCTTAAGGACCGGCGAAGAGGACAAAAAGCAACGGGCGGACGCACCTGGCGAGGACCTTCGGAAGCCAAGTCCTGCCTTAGTGCAGCGTCGGTCGGACTCTCCCAGCATTCGCCGCCACCCCTCCTCCCCAGCCAGGGCCACCTCCACGTTCAGCTCCAACGTGGCAGCCGCAGCCACGCCCTGCCGCCCGACACTTCCGGGAACGACGTCTCTCCCCGCCCACCCCGACGCACGGCCCGACGCACGGCCCGACGCACGGCACGCCGCGGCACTTCCGGGATTGGCGGTAGGCTAGGGCGCAGGGCAGGTTTCTGCTCCTTGGGACGGTTCTGCGCATTGGGGCCCTCTGCGGTCACCGCGTCCGCGCGAATTTAGGAACTCTTTTCTGAGGGGCGGCGCGAAGAATGTGGATGCCGTAGCCAAGACTAATGGATAAAGGAAAAGTCCTGCACGGTGCCTCCGTTCGGCCGAATGACCGCTGTGGCCCGCAGGAACGCCACGTAGCACTAGTCGTGTGAGGCGTCGGCCGCCCCTGGCGACACTGCCCGCGCCAAACCGCGTGGAAAATCGGGCTGCAGGGGCTTTATTGCATTTGTCACTGAATTCTTAAAATTACCCACTTGATTCTACATTCTGGCGTTTTGAGACCTTCTACAGAGAGAACTGGGCATACCCAAAGGCTACTGTGGACAGAGGCATAGATGGGGTGTTATATTAATTCCAATTAGTATCCTTTCATATTTGTTACTATCTCATGGTACTATTTGAGACCCGTTAGCACTAGCCTTCCGCCACTGTTAACCGTACTAGTTTCCCCAGAGCCTCAAATCTAATTAGATGCGTTGCCTGGGTGTACTTTTAGTATAGGGAGGAATTATTTTACAGAGAAGTAAAGCCAAAGGAAAATCACTTGCTAAATTACCAGAATCTGGATTAAACCCAGGTCTCCTAACTTTTCGACAAGTTCTTTTCTCATTACACCTAGCATTCAAAGCCAACTCTCCTACCGCCTTTCTTTCCTAGATGCCTGGAAATAATGTTTGTCTTTTGTAAACAAAAAGATAAGTAAAATATGGCAAACACTCCTTAAGGACTAGGGAAACATTTTTGCACTCATTGCAGCCTTCCCAGTGCCTTTTCAGTCTTAACATGTGGTTTGACTATAAAAGCAAAAGTTTATTTCTGTAGGATTGAAATCAGCTCTAACAGATTATAGTTGACCTTTGAACAACACGGTTAGGCGTTAACTCCAGTCAAAAACAGCAAACTTGAGCCTGGCGTGGTGGCTCACACCTGTAATCCCAGCACTTTGGGAGGCTGAGGCGGGCGGATCACTTGAGGTCAGGAGTTCCAGACCAGCCTGACCAACATGGTGAAACTCCGTCTCTACTAAAAATACAAAAATTAGCTGGGTGTGGTGGCACAAGCCTGTAGTCCCAACTATTCGGGAGACTGAAGCAAAAGAATCACTTGAACCCGGGAGGTGGAGGTTGCAACAAGCCGAGATCCGGGCACTGCACTCCATCCTGGGCGAAAGAATGAGACCCCATGTCAAAAAAAAAAAAATTTTGGCTCTTTGGGAGATAGAGGTGGGTGGATCACCCGAGGCCAGGAGTTCAGACTAGCCTGGCCAACATGGTGAAACCCCATCTCTACAAAGAATACAAAAATTAACCAGGTGTGGTCGTGTGTGCCTGTTGTCCCAGCTACTAGGGAAGCTGAGGTGGGAGGATCAGCTTGAACCCCGGAGGTGGAAGTTGTAGTGAGCCGAGATCGTGCCACTGCACTCCAACCTGGGCAGCAGAGCAAGACTCCATCTCAAAAAAAAAAAAAAAAATCAGCAAACTTCTGACTCCTCCAAAATGTAACTACAAATAGTCCCTACTGTTGATGGGAAGTCTGATAAAATCGATTAACATACATTTTCTATGTAACATGAATTATATAGCATATTCCAATAAAGCTACAGGAAAAACATTCAGAAAATCATAAATATATTTACTGTAAGCAGATGTAGATTATCATAAAGGTCTTCATCCTGGTTGTCTTCATATTGAGCAGGCTGAGGAGAAAGAGAAGGGATTGGTCTTGCTGTCTCTGATGGCAGAGGCGGAAGAAAATCTGTGTATGTGGACCCACGCAGTTCAAATCCCTGTTGTTCAAGGGTCAACTGTACTAGCCTAGCTTAGAACAGTTCGTTTCTAGTTATGTTCTAGAGGCTTTATGACTGCAAGACTAGTTTACCCAGAGAGATGGTAATAAAAATCCCTGACTTAAAAGTGGGACTATCATTTGGGCCGAAAGAAAACATTAAAGGCCTGAATTGTTTTCTATTGTCTCATCCCCCAAATACTCCCTGCTATCTTCCAAGTTTGCACTGATGTAGAAAAAGCGTTCATTAGAACTTCCATTTTCCCAAAAGCCAATGATTTAAACAGCAGTTACATTTTCTGGTTTCATTTAATACAATCTCAGTGCAACAGCATGTTCCTATTGCATAAGTCAGCAAACTCCCCCCACCTCCCCTTTTAGTTACTGTGAGTTAAGAATGGTTTTTATATTTTTAAGTAGGAAAAAAGGCAAAAGAAAAATATTTCATGACATCAAAATTATATGAAATTCAAATTCTGTTGTCCACAAAATTTTATTAGAACATAATGGTTTACATATTGTTAATGGTTAATGGTTTACATTATTGTTTACCACTGCTTTTGCAATACAAGCTGAGTGGTTCCAATAGAGTGCATATGGCCCTCAAAGCCTAAAATATTTACTATATAGCCCTTAACAGGAAAAAGTTGTCAATCTTTTTTTTTTTGAGGTGGAGTTTCTCTCTTCTTGCTTGGGCTGGAGTGCAGCAATGTGACCTTAGCTCACTGCAATCTCTACCTCCTGGGTTCAAGCGATTCTCCTGCCTCAGCCTTCCAAGTAGCTGGGACTCCAGGCTCGCACCACCATGCCCAGCTAATTTTTTGTATTTTTAGTAGAAACAGGGTTTCAACATGTTGGCCAGGATGGTCTCGATCTCTTAACCTTATGATCTGCCCACCTTGGGCTCCCAAAGTGCTGGAATTACAGGTGTGAGCCACCAGGCCAAATCTGTCAATCTTTATTACTTTTGCCAGAAATTTAATACTCAAAGGTCCAATATAAGGCACAGTATTATAAAAATTGTATTTCAAAGCTTTTGATATGGCAATACACAAAAGCATATGAAAAGTAAATGTAGGGCAGGTGCAGTGGCTCACATCTGTAATACTAACACTTTGGGACGCTGAGGTGGGCAGAACACTTGAGTCCAGGAGTTCAAGACCAGCCTGGAAAACATGGCAAAGCTTCAACAACAAAAAATTAGCTGCACGTGTTAGCACACACCAGTAGTCCCACCTACTCAGGAGTCTGAGGTAGGACTGCTTGAGCCCAGGAGGTGGATATTGCGGTGAGCCGAGATCATGCCACACACTCCAGCTTGGGTGACAGAGCAAGATCCTGTCTCAAAAAAAATATGTTAAATTATAACTATTATCACACAGATTAAAATATAGCTGTTTGTAGAGCTGATGTGCATATTTACATCTGGTTAAATATGCAGACTCCCTAGCTTGTTTTTACAAGCAAAGAGTCCTGGCTTTCAGCGTGTAAGCTGAAATTATGCAATGTTATCTTAATCTATGCAAAAATTTATGATTGTTCTATGACTTTAAAATTTGCTAGATTAAAAACTCTCCTGGCCAAGCACTATGGGAGGCAGAGGCGGGCAGATTGCTTGAGCTCAGGAGCTCTGGACTGGCCTGGGCAACACGGCAAAACTGTCTCTAATAAAAATACAAAAAAAATTAGCTGGGTGTGGTGGCACACACTTATGGTCCCAGCTTCTTGGGGGGCTGAGGTGGGGGGATCGCTTAAGCCCGGGAGGCAGAGGTTGCAGTGAGCCAAAATCTCACTACTGTTCTCCAGCCTTGGTGACAGAGTAACACACGGTCTCAAAACAAAACAAACCTCTCCTGCTGTTGGCTATAAATATATATATTTTTAATTGTACTTTTTGGCCGGGCGCGGTGGCTCATGCCTGTAATCCAAGCACTTTGGAGGCCAAGGCAGGCGGATCACCTGAGGTCGGGAGTTCACGACCAGCCTGACCAACATCGTGAAACCTTGTCTTAAAAAAAATAAAAAATAAAAATAAAATTGTACTTTTTTCTAATAATGTAAAACTAATATTTAATATACTAATTTTAGTAATTTATTAGAAACATTGAAACACTAAAATATTTCTTTACAATTTATCAAGAGTAGTTTGAACAGTGCTTGTCTTATCACATAACTTACAAGTGAGCATCTTTCCTATGCCTTGGCAAATTGTCACTACTCTTTCCTAACTTTGGGTCAGCTTCCAAAGGTTTACCCTTTGCATTTTCAATGTAATGAAGTATCTGAGAGCTCCCTTAATGTGAAGTTTTTTTGCTGGCATCACTTCCTGAGACATGGTCATTCTTTACATCACAACCACTTTGTCTGTAAATCTGACTTTGCTAAGTTCCTCTGCTACGTTATCTAGAACTGCCTCTTGAACAGCAGCAGTGTCAACATTCCCACAGTCAGCTCTATCTTCTGTAACATTCTATCTGAAGCTTTCAGCTTTAAGAGATAGCTTAACATCAATTCATGCCAACTTCTGAAATGATGAACCCACCTTTTACTGGTAGTAATATATTCTTTCAGTCTTTTTCTAATTACCATTTTCTTTCAATATAGTAACTATATCACTTTAGCCTGAATGCTGGTCAAACTGATTGGAATTTGCTTTTTATCAGTCTTCAAGTAATGTTCCATTTCAATCACAAACAGCTTTCTGTTTTTAGTGCAATGAAGCAACTTTACCTTTTTACATTTATCAGACTTTTTCAATAGGTTTGTTTTAGTTTCACACAGGTCTGGGTCTCAGCCTATCTTTGCTGTCCCCACTTTCAAATCTTTTAATCACATCCAATTTCACTTCCAGCATTTCACTTTTCTTTGCTGCCCTGTCCTTTGCTGACCAATTACCTCTTTTGATCATCCATTTTTATGGTCACAAGGTTAACACTACTATGAGGTGAAGGAGGCAACACTACTGTGCACTTCGTGCTTTACTATCTGTGCATCAACTGAACAGATGATCAGTAATGAATCACAAACTTTGAAAGTAATGTAACTGGCATATGCGTATGGCATATCATAATGCCTTGTGGACTAAAGAGCTAGCAGCAGAATTTATGTATGTTTTCTCAATACTGTGGTAATGGAAATATTAACCACATTGTTGGACTGGTTTAACTGTGGTAATTCATATTTACACATATTGGAACTGTGCAAAGCAAGGACTGCCTGTATCTAAAAAGAGAAAAACTCCTTATTAGTTCACAAAACAGTTAACTTTTAATCCAATTTAGTTAACTACTATCCAAGCCTAATCC